GCGGATGGACGGGGGAGACAGGCGGATGGACGGGGGAGACATGCGGATGGACGGGGGAAGAGGCGGATGGACGGGGGAGACAGGTGGATGGACGGGGGAAGAGGGGGATGGACGGGGGAAGGACAGGCGGATGGACGGGGGGACAGGCGGATGGACCGGGGAGACGGCTTCATTTGACACGAAACTCAATTTTAAAATCAAATCCGCGTTTTGTTGAAAGGGATATATTAGGATATATTATAAAAGACTATTATTAATCGTAATAAATTGTCCGCGAAAAGTTGATAAAATACATGTGGAAATGCGGGTTTTTCAAACCTTCGTAACGCTTGATCGGATAAAACGCGGATATGCTGCAACTTTCATGCTTAATTTTCTCAGTCATCTGGGTATGTAGTAATCTAATTTTATGCAATGTAATGTGCTGTTTTTTCAAGTACTTTTCAATGCAGTTATCGGTTTAAATATAACTCAAATTCCCGTTGAGATATGACAATTGCCGTACGGACTACTTTTACGCAAACGCAAATTACAACTGCAAATTTCATCAGCACATCACATTGGCATAAAATTACATTACTACATGCCCGGATAACAGAGAAAATTAAGCATGAAATTTTTGCAATTGTAGCTAAATTAAATTTTCGTTTGCGTAAAAGTAGGCCGTACGGCAATTGTCATATCTCTTAACGGGAATTTTAGGTATATTTAAACCGATACCCACCGGGCACACGACGTTGTTTCAACGTTGAAATTTGGTAGAAAAAAGGTTGCGACGTCGACAACCTAATATCTACGTTGCTCTGACGTTGTTTTACAAACATTGGTTCAACAGCAGCCAACAGACGTTGAATTAACGTTCATTCATGGTTATATGTACGACGTCGATTTGTGAACCAATCTCAACGTTGTTTTAACGTGGATTCAACGTTGAATTATGGTTGACGAGATTGGCAACCTAATTTCAACGTTGTTTCAACGTCGAAACAGTAACGTCGATCCAATTTGCATAGTCAACCCTTTTTCAACGTCTATCCAACGTCTGGAAGGTCATTTTCAACGTTGATTCAACGTTGGATAAACGTCATTTTGCCCGCTGGGTAACTGCATTGAAAAGCCCTTGAAAATATAACACATTACATTGCATATAAAATTAGATTACTAATTACCCAGATGACTGAGAAAATTAAGCATGAAAGTTGCAGCATATCCGCGTTTTATCCGATCAAGCGTTACGAAGGTTTGAAAAACCCCGCATTTCCACATGTATTTTATCAACTTTTCGCGGACAATTTATTACGATTAATAATAGTCTTTTATAATATATCCTAATATATCCCTTTCAACAAAACGCGGATTTGATTTTAAAATTGAGTTTCGTTTCAAATGAAGCCGCCCCCCCCCCCCGTCCATCCGCATGTCCCTCCCCCGTCCATCCCCCTCTTCCCCCATGCATACACCTGCATCCGGCATTCCGGGTTTTCACAACGCCCCAAAATATTTCCATATATTTACCTTTCTCCCTTTGGAATGCGTATTTTTTTTTTCTTCTGAGGCTTTCCCAAACTATGCCCAAATATGCATAGCTTAGAGCGCGTTAAGGCCGGGTTTTTGATATCGGCAGATCGGTTTATAAATATTATAACCAAGTGTGGATGAAACAGTTCAACTTCACGCCCCATATAGTTCAAATATTTGGACGTTATAATCTTATAGACAGATAAATTAGTTACTGCAATTCTTCAATAAGAATATGGCTCAAGGCGACATGTACGAAAGCTGAGTAGCACTATCCACTCGATATTATAGTCAAATTTTTATAACCGGCAATGGCATCATATGTTTTCAAAGCTATATATGGAACTGCGGAGTATAGCTAACCATTTAATTAATGAAATAATATGACATTTGAATTATATATGGTCTTCATGTATATACTATACAAAGAATTCGAAGATCGCCGGTCTGCAAAATAGTGATGCATCGATATCCATATCGGTAATTTTGTTGTTGATATTACCGACATCGTCGTAAACATTACAAGAAAATATATCTCTAGACCAACCAATGTTGCTGTTATTTAAAACTGCTGAAGTCTATCCTAAACGATTTCTGAAATATCGCAAACTACAAACGGAACAAACCTTGCATGTAAACAATGCTACTCCGGCTGTTATTAAATAAGCGCTGTGAAATTTCCAAATTCGAACTTGCCATTGACTTCGCTGAAACTTGATGCTCAAGAAATATGTAGAAGTATACCTCTCTGTTATCAAACCTACGGTAAAATAATCCGACAAAAGCCTACTGAAAGATAAGTCAAAGCATGAATGTTACAAAATACTGTATGTGTCACTATGTGACTGTATATTTGTAACTTATATGTTTGACATTAGAAAATACAAATCACATCATGATAAATTTGACACTAGATTCACTACTTCTTGGTATGTATACATCATGGTATGTATTTATGTATGATTGAAATCTCTCAAATGCTTTCTTTTATTTTTCCCTAGTAAATTAACAGATATTGCATTAAATTAACACTGTCCAAGTGGACATTTCTCGCTTATTACTGTAAGAACATGGATCAACAAATTAGTGAAGCCCTGAATGTCAGAATTTAGCTATTTATGACAGGCTTGACAGCACTATTTCGTATTGAAGAATTACAATATTTATCTGTCTATAAGATTACAATGTCCAAATATTTGAGCTATATGGGGCTTGAAGTTGAACTGTTTCATCCACACTTGGTTATAATATTTATAAACCGATCTGCCGATATCAAAAACCCGGCCTTAACGCTCTCTAAGCTATGCATATTTGGGCATAGTTTGGGAAAGCCTCAGAAGAAAAAAAAACACGCATTCCAAAGGGAGAAAGGTAAATATATGGAAATATTTTGCTTGGAACCCACGACTTCTTATTCGGGACCCACGATTTTTTACCCACGACCCACGCCTTTTTACCCACGACCCACGCCTTTTTACCCACGACCCACGCCTTTTTACCCACGACCCACGCCTTTTTACCCACGACCCACGCCTTTTTACCCACGACCCACGCCTTTTTACCCACGACCCACGCCTTTTTACCCACGACCCACGCCTTTTTACCCACGACCCACTCCTTTTTACCCACGACCCACGCCTTTTTACCCACGACCCACGCCTTTTTACCCACGACCCACGCCTTTTTACCCACGACCCACGCCTTTTTACCCACGACTTTTTACCCACGACCCACGACATTCTACCCACGACTGCTAGCTAGTCCCGGTTGAGCTGGTGGTCATCCTCACTGATCTCAAAAATATGACTGATTGCTTGTAGGAGTGGGATAAGCAAGATTTCAATTTTAAAAGACATATATTTGGATCGTTTCATATACAATATATATATATATATATATATATATATATATATATATATATATATATATATATATATATATATATATATATATATATATATATAATTTCGCAAAATATACACGAGCGCGAAGCGCGGGTGTTTTCATACATTGTTTTCGAGTGTTTGGATATCCCGGTGAGACACGAGCTCGAGTTGTTTATATGGCTTCTCAAATGAATCGAGACGTAACAGAATGTTTTCGTTTGCTGATTTGAATAGAATTCTTAACCAAGCATAACGTAATTAGGAATTCTATTCAAGTAATTTTGCATGCGTAGTTAAGATATTTGATGAAAACACTAGTGACTTTCATCAAGTTTCACCGGGTTATCCAAATGGCATCTTGTGATCAAATTGGTGATTATCATTGGCTGAATTGCTCATGAATTATTAATGAATTTGAGAAAGTTAGATCCCGTGATTACTCGATTACACTTTGTTGCATTTTGTAAAGCTCTTTTAGTATGTGTGCGACTGCCATCATTCCACTCATCATTCTACACAGTATTGATACAACAGTTCTAATTTTGGCTCAAATATGGGTGTTTCAAAAAAAGAAGGCAGTTTGCAGTTAAAATTAAGTAAAAAAGAGAGCCAAACTACAATCGAGGCCAAAATTCATTGGCACACTCAATCCACCTTTTCAAAAAACCTAACTATAACAAAAAGGTAAAACTGGACTTTGCACGCACAACCCCGTTCCTCTTCTTCAATGGTGCATGCATATCCATATTTTCTACACTTCATATTTTTTTTATTAAAAATTCCATTAAACACAATG